TCCTGGGATTTGTAGTTTGCTGTGGCACCAGAGCTTTCTGACAGAGAAAGGCTGAATATCTCACAAAACTACAAATCCTAGGATTCCAGAGCATTGAGCCACAACAGTTAAAAGCAGCGTCAACCTGGATTACTTTTGCAATGTGGGTGAAGCCAAGAATACAGATGTGAGAAAAATTTGATTTCACACTGCAGTTTTCCAAATAACTGTTGGACTTCTGGAAACCTTTTATAGTTGGAATCCCTCCCCCGGTTTTCTTTTGTTATTTGTATACTCTTGCTCTATTCACTTTTTCCACAATGCATTTTCTGTAATGTACCCACACAGTGCATTTATTTATCTACTCTTCCTAATGCCTTCATTTCCCTACACATTGCCCACATAGAATAAAATGTGTTTGTGTGTATTTTTAAATACTCCAAGATTTATGCATGGTTTCATGAGTACAGAAAGTATTGCAAATGTGCACATTTCTGCAAGAAGGAGGACTTTGTCTCCCAGTGAATCTCAGCAGATGCAAAATAGCTAATTTCAGCAAGAAATCTGAAAGGGCCAAAATTATGCTCCATCTCTACACAACAGCCCCTGATGAGTTTCCTACCACAGATAATGAATATAACGGTTTCATCTCCCCACTGATGTCTACATTGATCCCAATCTTACCCATAGAAACTCAGAAGGAAGCCTGAAGACACGCTACACAGCTCTTGTTGTTGTGCGCCTTCAAGTAGTTTCTGACTTATGACGACTCTCATGGGGTTTTCTGAGGCTGAGAAATGCCCCGGTTTTCATCTATGAAATGTTGGAGGGTATGGAAGCATGCATGGTGTGTAGTAGTTTGAGCATTGGATTATGATTCCGGAGACCAGGATTCGATTCCCTGCTTGGCCATGTAACCCAATGGGTGACCTTGGGCAAGAGACATGCTCTCAACCTCCTCTGAGCAAATCTTGCCAAGAAATCCCCAATGATAGGGTCACCATAAGTTGGGAATGACTTGAAGGCACACACCACACACACATGGGAGCATGAATTAAAACCTGAAGTCATCTTCCCACTCTAGCTGCCACTGGGTACCATCAAAAGAATACCACCGAAAGCAACAAGTGACCAACTTGCTCCAAGAAAAGCTCCTGCCAAATGGACTCCTTATGGCAGGGGTAGGCAACCTAAGGCCCGCCGCCCGCCATGATGATATTGATT